TTTTTTTCTTTTTTTTAAGGCTTGTAAAGACATGGAAAAATTTGTTTGATTAATGCCACTTCCAGATTGCTGTTCCTTGTTCCTTTCCCTATAATTTGCACGTCCATGAAGTTCGTTTCGATGATCGGTCGCAAAGTTATGAGCTACCAAAGCCGAAATGACGCTTTTTCCTTTGATAGCCATTATCTCATGAACCCACTATCGGACAGAAATTGTAAATACGGTTCCAGAAAGCGGAGAATGCACTCATGAGATAATGGCTATCAAAGGAAAAAGCGTCATTTCGGCTTTGGTAGCTCATAACTTTGCGACCGATCATCGAAACGAACTTCATGGACGTGCAAATTATAGGGAAAGGAACAAGGAACAGCAATCTGGAAGTGGCATTAATCAAACAAATTTTTCCATGTCTTTACAAGCCTTAAAAAAAAGAAAAAAAATTCTAAAATTTTTTCATCGCGATTTTTTGTATATTTTGTTAATGATAATGGGCTCAAAAAATTTTTGAGATAAAGGGTCGAAAACTAGAGACCTGAAGCTTCAAAATGACTATTCTGGATGTCTTCTGTGATGAATTTCAACGGAGGCAGAGTAATTTGAAAATGACCTAAAAATTTAAGGAATTTTTCTGTTCCCTTAATTTTTTTGACTAGTATATTTCAGATATGATTAAAATAACCAAGAAGAGGGAAATCGGAGATAGAGTGAAATCCACAAAAGAATGTGAAGCACGTGTGGAAAATTTATGATACGAATAATTAGTTTGAATGTACTTAGTTATCATGTATTATTGTGCTAATACTTTTAACTCAATTGCGTTAATTTTAAAACAATGTTTGCTATTTAGAATTTGCACTGTGGCGTTATATTAGCTTGTTATATTGGAACAGATATAGTTCAGGGGACAACTGAAATGATAACGGTAACGAATGTCCTCTTCTGTCTACTGAATGTTAAAATTATTTAAAACATTAATAAAGCATTAGTAAGTTCAAAGTATACTTTGGTCGCTTAAAGGTCCTAAATGTCTTTGTTAGTTTTTTTCTGGGAACATACGTTAATATAATCGTGACAAATATTAGCATAAATATGCTCATACATGGTATGTCTTGAAAGTAATGTCAGTAAGTCGATTAAAAATTATTTATTGAAGTGCTCGTTACAACTCGACCAAGTTACTTCTAGGGAATTTTTTCAAAGGGCGGTAGGAACGAACCCTTTGAGGTACAGACGAAAATGTAAGTGGTACAAACGAATAGAAAACAGCACCCGCAAGAAAATTTGAAATATCTCAAAAAATGGCGAAGTTACCCCTTTGGGGGCACTTTCGAACGGCGGTACAGACGCACCCCTTGGGGTACAAACGAAAGTAGAAGTGGTAAAAACCTCTACAGACGCTCCTTTTTATGATGGCGTTGAAAGAAATAAAAAATGTTAAAGTGGGATGCTGGGGTATTTCCACCCCTTAGGGTACAAACGAAAAGAAAAGTGGTACAAACGGGTACAAACTAAGCCGAATACGATACAATTGGAAAAAATAAAATTTTTAATAGTCGAGTGCTAGGTTCAGGCAGGTGTCCCGTACTATGTACCAATTTTAACCGAAATAATCGCGGTCCGACGTGAAGTCGCGTCACAATAAAGTCAGTGACATTACTTTCAGGACATACCTTGTATATAACAATTTCACGTGCATAATAACTAAAATTCAAATTTCCACAGAAACAAATACTTTACATACATCCACATTTAATGGCAATTCCTTCACAGACACATTGCTGATGTTGTTGTTCGCAAGACGTAATTTCGTTAAAAACGAAATTTCAATAGATTGATTTATTTTGCTACGATAATAGGGAATATTATTCATATCCGTCGGTACTGCCGTTAAATTTTTGTAGGAGCAATCGATTAAAAATACTCTCTCGTTTGGTTTTATCCAACAAGAACACTTGGTTGGACATGATTCTGATTTTGGACATTTAAAGGTTTTCCATTGTAATTTGCTTACAAGTATACCATTCGTCCACTCTGGTCCACGACACGTCAAGTTTTCTGCCATTATATGAACAAATTGTTGAAAAGCAGGGCGCACTTTTTCGTCCAAGTAATAAAGAAAATCATACAAATTACAGTCACATATTATAGGATTATTAGCGACTAATATTTCTATGTTTCCTTTTATTATTTCATAATTCCCCGATTCCTCCTTTGTGTTGAGCTGAATGTGTTGGATGTTGTTATGTCGTAGATCCAATGTAATGTTACTTTCCACAAATATCAAATCTGTAGTCTAAAAAATTCATATAATACAGGAACTTGAAACAAATAAATAGAATAAAATTGAATGCACAAAGCAACGAATAAATGACGTAGAAAATCGACCAAAATATTTATTAAAATCTTATCTCCGACAGGCATCTACAACCTCCAATTTTTCGATTAAGGACTGAATGTTCTAGTTATACAGGATATTTAAATACGTTACGAAAGAGAACTATCTCTAACTTGTTAACTGAATCCAGGATCTAATGAAGCAGGTTCGAGAAATTGAAGACTAGGAAAAAGAGACCACAAAGTGCTATGCAGTGGAACATAAATTCGTGGCTCCATATCCGAAGGATCGTAACTACTGCAACACTTGTAGACGTTACGGGCACACAAGCATCCACTGCAACCAGTGTCGATTCCAGACTACTTTGACGCCAAAAGGAAATGCCCTGCGACCACTACTAGAAGCAGAACAGACCGAGCCACAATGCGTACAAACAGTGGTACACTGTTACAGTTGTGGAAGAGCTGGATTTGTAAGGAGCAAATGTCCCAACTACTCGAAAAATACTAACAAAAGTCCAAATAAAGCTGCTTTCTACTTTGTTAATACGGCGACGATGATGTTTCCTCGTCTCACCGTTCAGCTATCTATTGCTGGCGAGTAGGGTCATGCATTTCTGGACATTGGCGCAAAATGCTCCATAGCAAGTCAAAATTTGTATGACTTGCTTAAGAAGAAGGGCATTAAATTCGAATACAAGAAGATGCAAATTCTGCTAGCGGACGACCATCCACGCATATGGAACGTTCTAAAGATCGAATTAGACATTCGCCTGTAAGAGCATACGATGAAATTTACCTTTATCGAGTTTCCAGAAATCAAAAATAACCAGACCTTGCTGGGGGATGGATTTCATCGATAATGCCAGAATTGTTTGGAATATCCCACTGCAAAGCTAGAAATTCGTTGATATACCGGAGACTCACTTTGAATTTATTGAAGAGTCGGAAATTGGGGAAATAACTTCGGACAAGGGACAGAAAAGGAAGCAAGAAGCGGTTAACGCAACGGATTGGGAGAAAATCTAAGAACTGGCGAAATCTTTGCCATCGCTATTAAGCTCAATACAAGATGACCACACCACCTCGAACTATATCCCGAAAGTATCCCAGAGGAGCCGATGCAAATTTTCATCGAAGAAGCTCCAACTCAATGGCCTGGCTTCGACAAATTGTTCGATAAATGTCTTCGATCCTTCGAGAAAATGGTTTGACTAGAGATCAATGCGGTCGAAATAGAAGAAATCAGAGAAGGCGAGCATCGAACACTGGCACCGAGAGAAAAAATAAAGCAGCAGGAGCTATTACTTCAAAATATGGACTTATTTCGTGCAATGGGATCATCCACGGCAGAAGCAGTCGACCATAAAGAAACTAAAGACCACGCAGCAATTGCAGTACCTTCTTATCGCATACCACCTGCGAAACGTGATCAACTCCAGAAAGAAGTTTAGAAGATGCTGGAGAGGGACATTATAGAAGAATGTAAATCACCCTAGACTACTTCTGTTGTTCTGGTACTAAAAAAGGATGGCAGATAATGGAACACAATTTATCATCGGCGTTATGCAGTAGGTCACACATCGTTTCGACATCCAACAGAACTTCACATCAGTATACCATCCTGAAGCCTATCCGGTAGAACGCAAAAACCGTGACTTGAAGGCTGTATACCTACGTGGGAACAGATCATACAACCTGGGACAAGAAGCTACCAACGATCTACAAGCTACCGGACACCTTTAATGAAGTCCGAGGATCAAAAGCTATAATCTGTAAATTCTTCTATGATTATATAACATGAAACTTAGAAATTTGTAAATTTGATTTGGAACTTTGTGATTTAGATTTTGTAAGAGCCTATGTACGTTTATATGAATAAATGTATTATTTTTTTTGTTCAGAAATTCCTCAGTGTCCTTCTCGAGTTATCCTGCAACGGAGAATTCTATCCTACAATAACATTTATTTAATTTTAACGTTTGATAAGCATTATATCTTACCGAATTATTTAGTAAAGTAGTTATTTTAATTATTCTTAAATTATTCTTATACTTTAATTATAAAACAGTTATTTTAGTTATTTAATTATTTTTTCTTTTATAACTTACCGAAATCTGACGTATGTTGTTATAACTGAAATTGAATACACGTAGATGTGCACGTGGCGCCCACCAGTAGTAAGCTTTCTCGGAGGTATCCTGTGATAGAACGTATGTTGTCATGAGATGCTTTGACCAAATTAAGGAGTGGTAATAGTTTCTGTAGTTCGACACTTCTTACCGGCGACAACTCGCGAAGAAGAGGAATTATATCTTCAAATACTTGTAATTGATTTCGTCCCATATTTAAAACTCTCAAAAAAAATAAGTGTTGAAACACGGTCCTGTAATTTTCACAGTAAAATAAATTTGTAGTAAGTAAAATCGAAATACTAAATTATTATACAAAAAAGTTAGTTGTTTTATTTATAAATAGGTATAATGAATCACATATGAAGTTGCGGGAGACTTGAAAACAATTTTAACAATACAAATTAAAAAATGAAAGTTTAACATCGCGAGTTTTGCAAAATTTTCCCCTTTGTCGTGATAATGTGTTATACGCGTCAGTTTTTCACTCTGCAACTGTGGGTCTATTTTTTAAATACACTTTCATTTGCTTGAATAATAATTTTTCAATGATGAGAATTAAAAAAGAAATACATTATTATTTTGCAAATTCCTTTTCGAGATCACAGTTTTAAAAACATGAAGTTATTATAGTAGCGATATTGAAAATTTCTTTACAAATTAACTAATAACCATTCTTGTATTTTTTTTATTAATAACATAATAACATGTTAATCATAGCTGGTATGTTCCGTTTCATTGCAAATCTGTTCACTTTTATTGTTTATGTTTTAGCTTTCTCTCACCCTGCTTCAGCGAGCTCGCACTTTCTAATAGTTTTCATCACACAATTACATTTTATTACAAATAATCATAAAATGAACAAACCGATAATAAAAGTTGTATTAATATACAATAGGCGTCACATGTTCAAAGTGGGTTAGTAAAACTTAGCTAAAACTATAAATAATGGTATTAAGGCTCGAACAAAATTTCTTGTTTTCGAAGAAGTTATTAAAATAACAAATATAGAGTAATATTTGTTGTATTAGTCTATCATAACTAGTCTATCGTAACTAGTACGGGACGTACTAGCTTGCTTTAACAGTTTATTAAAATATTAATCGCAAGAAAATTTCAGATTTTTAAAAGTGTGTCCTCGTGATAAGGTTTACAATGTAAGATAATATTTACAACTTTCAACATTATAAAAGTCATATTTTAACTCAATAAAAATATATTTTTTAGGAGTGGGTTGCGTGTATGAATTAATAATCACAGTTGTATTGCGTTTTCTGCTAAACTTTATTTAAAGGAGTGTATGTCTTGTTTTCTCCGAAACTTGCAAGACTACTTAAACAGAACTCTGAACTATGAACTATGCGAACTATCCATCTTTGCGCTCGATTTTCTTCTTTTTAAAACCTACGCTTTTTCTTAGGCCAACCCCCGACTAGGTTGGGTTAAGCAATTAAAGAAACCTAAATCCCGCCAAATCGTACGACCTTCCTCTTATGCCCGAAGCACGCTTCCTTGAAGCGGAGGTACGATTTGACGGGGGTGCGTTTGCTGGCAAAGGTGGCAACGCAGCGGAATTTTCCCGGGGCCCTAGGTCAGCTCTGCGGCCAGCCGATGGTCGCTTGACCTCTGAAGAAGACCCACGGGGAAACCCAGGGTTTATGACACTTAAGTATTTTACTGTTGAGACCGTTGGCAAAATTCTATGTACGGTCATACTTTGACTAAAAATTCTAAAACGGTTTTCTCAAAAACAGTTCCGCTATCGTCCATATCATAAACCGTGCTAGCTGTTTGCACGTTAAAAGCTATTTACAAAATTTACAGATTTATAGATAGCCGCTACAATTTTATAATATATTTTATAATTGTCTTTGTTAAGGGGTTACGTGAAATAAAATACATGCGTAGAGTATATCAAAGTAATTCTTATCTTTATAAAGAGAAATGAAACGGTGAAGAACTATTGAAGAAATCGATGCTTACAAAACGGGCACACAGTTAGAACTAACTAAATAGACTGCCACGACAGTACACGCATCTATACAGGGTTTGTCCAATAAGTAACGGGACTAATTTTTTTCTACTAGTTTGGAAGGTCAGGGAGCAATCTCTATTGACTAGATCGATGCAGGAGGTTGTTATGTATAATAGAAATCTGGGTTCATTTGTATTCCACCATTTGTTTTGTTTATATTGTGCTTGAAGTGGAAGTGTATTTAACGTTCGCGTCGAGATTCAAGATGCAACGAACCGTCGAGCAGCGTTGTGCCATTAAATTTTGCATGCCATTAAATTTTGTGTTAAGCTAAATAAATCTGCTAAGGAGACATTTGATATGATTCGCCAAGCTTACAAGGACGATTTCATGTCCAGAACGCGTGTTTTTGAGTGTTGAAGTGTTGAACAAAAAATTCAAAGATAACCGTGAAGACGTTGAAGACGAGCAACGGGCTGGATGACCGACGTGACGTCGCGTCGTCCCGATCCGATACGAATGTTGACAAAGTGCGGGAAATTTTGAATTTTTAAACCACCCTACAGTCCAGATATGGCCCCCTCTGATTTTTTTCTGTTCCCTCGCATTAAAAGAAGCCTTAAAGGACATCGTTTTGGGATGATTGAGGCGGTTGAAGCGGCTTCGACGGAGTGCCTGAAGAGTCTTACGCTTGTCGACTTCCAGCGAGCGTATGAACAGTGGAAAACTTGCTGGCAACGGTGTATTGATGCAGGAAGGGCATACTTTGAAGATTATTAACTCAATGTATATATATCTTCAACGAATTTTATTTTAGGACATCAATCCCGATACTTATTGGACAAACCCTGTACTTGGAGTACTCGCAGGCCCCAGATCGTAATTAAACAATAAGTAAAAGGACGTAAAACAAGGAAAACGTAGCTTACAAGGAAGAAAATACATTCTCAAGAAAGTATTTGACACGTATTTTTTTATCGGCCATCGTTTACATTAAAGGGGTGATAATAGCCCTCAAAGTTAAAGGCTGAAATCATACTTTTGGGAATATTTCCGGAATTAAAGGAAAAAATTGGAAACTTTTTCTTAAATTACTCGTTTTTAAATAGGGAATTTTTGTGCGTAAAAGAATGTTAATAAACTTTATTTGTTTAAATAATATAGGATTGCGAACTCGCGTGATAAGTTAAAAATGAATCGAGTTGCTACTTGATCACTGTGCTCGACGGCAACTTAACCCCTTAACTTGTACGCTCGAGTTAATTCGAGTGCGCTAAACAGGCTGAACTGTGCACGTTCGAGATGATTCAAGCGACGTTGTATTTTATGCTTTTATAATTTTTCACACTCGGATATAATCGAGAATTGAAAATAACAATGTGAAAGCAAAGAAAAAAAATCGATTTATTGATATTTATCATTTACATGGGATTATATGCTATGTATAACACGTATTTATTCAAGAATAAAATATAGCCTTTTTCCATGGAACAAAAGCGCAGTATATAAAAATTGATTTTTTTGTCCGGTTTTTCAAAAAAATTATGCGTTAAGAGGTCAATGTCGCGCGGGCGAATTTGGATTGATGTAAAGAAATGATGACTGTTAAAAACTCAACACTTAATTTATTTTAACCTATTTCTTAATGCTAACTGTTGCAAATGTGTTTATGTTGGTACTTTGATTTGTTCTGTTTTTGCATCGGCTTTTCTCAAAAAAAGAAAACTTTTGCAAAAGCGTCTATGGTAAGATGGTAAGAAAAGTAGGAAGGAACTATGCAAGAGGGAAGAAATTTTGGGTTGTGATTGGGTTAGAAATCCTGGGAATTAGCAAAGGTGGAAGAAAGAAATGGAAGAAGTGTTGAAGAAAAACTGAACACCACTTATATTTTTCAACGCGTCTATACGCATCGTTAGAGAGGATGAGCGCCGCATTCTTTTGTTCATATTCAATTATATTAAAAGTTTCGTCAGTCGGTTACAAACTCGTGAACGTGTCAGTTTTGTTCTTTTTGTTCTCAATATATCTACATATATTATTAAATACTATTTTTCTTTAAACAGAACTGTTTTTCTTTACCCAAATAACTACAGTAGGAAGGAAACTGGCAGTAGGGATGACGAGGGAACGGTATTTTTTGGCTTTGCCCAGAAATTTTATTATGGGCCTGTAACAGGCCGCGGACTTGGATTAGGAGGGATGGTTTCGGTCTTGATTTATAGTGTGGTGGTAAAGTATATTTTTTTATTGACTTTTTTGACTCTCAATGTTTATGAGGTCATAGGTATCGTGACTTTATGTTGTACGGTATGTTGTGCCATCGCACAAAATATTTTGAAAATTTATAATTTTTGTTTAAATTTTTGTACTAAATGTTGAACTATTTTTTGCAACTTTGTGTATATAAATTATGGATTAAAATAGGGGATATGTGTTTTTCGAATTTGTTGTTTTTATCGATGATTATTATAGGGTGATAAATTTCAGCCAAGAGACACAAATTATCTGCACACTATGTGTTCATACATATACAGATAGTTGGGTTTATACATCAATTGTTTCAAAAGGCCCATTACATGCAAGTAACGTTTTGCTAGAAATAACTTAATATAATTTTGTAGATAATAATAAGCAACATCAATTAATGCATTCGGAAATATATCTATAATTCCATTTGAAGTAAAAGTATGTCACCTACATGACTTTTCAGCACTTATTCATTAAAAAAACTATATATTTACATCAAGTTGCGACACCGTTTAAACCTTATATTTGGAATTTAAATTATTTTTTAGTACGAAATATAGTATATAAACAATTTACATTTATGAAAAACGGATTAACCTATAACAATTTTCAGAAACGCTTTCCGAACGAACTTAAATTATAGCAGGCATGTAATAACAATCTTACCTGCTGATAGAAGTGATGCGGTTCCCTTCCAAATTTAGGTATTTCAAATTGTACGAGAAGTAGAAAATTTCATCTGGTAGCGTAGTCAGTTTATTGTAACTGAGGTCCACCTCCAACAAATTGCCTGGTCCGTAAAAAACATTTTCATGCAGTGACAGCAAATCATTTCTCCTCAAACTGATAATTTCTAATGATCTAAGACTCAAAAATATATTTTTCGGCAACATGATCCAACCGTTATATTCTAATCTTAGCTCTTTAAGGTGCATCTGATGTTGGAAAAATGTTTCTGGTAGAGTCATGTTATTTCTATTATTGCATAAAGTTATACGTTTCAGTTTATTGTTCTGCCACAGTAAACGTGTCGGTAATGAGTTAAAGCTGTTGTTGTCTAATTTCAGCACTTCCATATTATTCATCATTGCAAAAATGTTTTCTGGCAAAGAGTTTAAATTGTTGGAACTGAGGTCTAAAGATGTCAAAGAAACGAGTTTGTCGAATATACCGGACTCAAGCTGCGTCAAGTTATTCAATGAAAAGTTCAATGTCTGCAGCTTCGTCAGAGGATCGAATGTACCGGATTCGATTCCATTAATTGAGTTGTTACTCAGTTCTAGCACTTCAAGTGTTGGAGTGTCATCGAAAATCCTTGGAGCTAAACGTATCATGTTATTCCGTAAATCGAGAACAACAAGGTGAGGTACATCCGCGAAAATGTCACTACTAAGGTGCGTTATACCATTGCTTGATAGAATTATCTGCTGTAAATGTGGGAAACCTTTCAAATGATTCCTGGTTAGGATGGTGCTCAAATTACCAAACGGTTTGAACAGTAACTTTTTCATTTCGTATTTGCCAGTTGGGTTCAGGTAGTCTGTTAGACTCCAGTTCATTGACAGATCGCACTTCATTAAGGGATTAAACAAGTCAGAGGTTGACCGTTGCTGCTTGTGACACGGCATCTAAACAAGAGAAAAATTTTTAATGGACTAACTGACATTATGTTTACTGATTTCGAGTTTGATTATTGTAAGGAGTTGAGCAAGAACATAATATTAAGAAAGAGGATTAATTTATTTTTTATCAGTGAGGAATTTTTAGAGCGTGATGTATTATTCTACTGTTCACTTATTGCAATAGAACTGTCAGCAATATGGACACAGTTTTAATATAAATTTTATATATTTTTCGTTATTAACGACTCAGTTTCTGAATTCTTAGTTTGCTTTTACTTATTTTTTGTTATTGATATCTCTTAATTGTCTTCTACGTTCATCGCGATTAAACGGCGCATAAGATCGAGACTTGATTTTATCGTTACTACTCAACGAGTCTTCCTATCCATACAAATAGTTCCTGTCCATTCCTTCCATAGATCCCCGCGTTTAAAACAAAAGCCTGCTAGGTTACTTTACTGACGAGTCCACTAGTAGGTCCCGGACGGAACACCCTTTTCCTCTCTTTCATTTTTCTTAGCCCTTCCACTAGCTAGCTAAACCGCCACATCCATTATTATTATAATACTGGACGATGCACTGTAAATTCCATCGAAATCAGCATGGTTCTAGTACTTTACTGTTTCTTATTAAAGTGTATAAATATTATGAGGATTATGAAAAAATATAAATTTTATTTTTGGGACGGTTTGAACTATTTTAAATACGCAAAAAGTAAAATTTCTGAATAAAATGAAAATGATCGAAATATCATTTAATAACATTTCTGGCGGAAATATCATTTAATCAAATAACATTCTGGTATTGCACACGGTTTTCTGTCCACTGGTTACATACCGTTCGTCAATACCTGGCCAGATAGCACGAAAGTACAAAACAGTCGGTACGAGAAATGAACTGTTTCACGGCTCCGAATGTTGATTTGTAAAACGGCTGCTGGTACGTGCTATACCAGAATGTTTAATGTCTGGTAAAAAGGGTCATCTAAGGTAATTAGCTTTTCGTTAGTTCGCCTTCGCACAATTTATTGCACGGTCAAGCCTAAACGGGACAATGGGCAATCCAGAGGAAATCGAGTCTCGCAGCTATCGGCTGTCGTATAATTGATTGTTTCGAAAAACCCGTGGGGACGTTCAAAAATGGCAATCAGACTCGGGGAAATCGTTCAAACAATATGCACACTTTTGTTAAAATATCCAGCCATGGGGTGGGTAAAGGCAGAGTGGTTTTTGGAAAGAAAACTATGTTTGACCCGTGAGCATTTTCGTGAGAGCTGCCGGACAGTAACCATCGAAATGTTTCTGCAAAGGACTAACGCAAAATTTTATATTTTTTATATTTTTACGTCGAGTGCAAGAGGAACGCGAGGTAGTCGAAGAGTTCCATGAAGATGGAACGCTAA